GGGGTCTCTCTGAGGTTTGGGGTGGCAGAGAGATAAAGCCATCGTTGGCCTCCAAGGGCATCGGGGTCTGTCCTTTCCTGTCCTGTCCTGTCCCCACTGTTGTCCTTCTGTGTCCCCTCACTCCTTCCAGCATCAGCCCCTGCAAGGGGCTCGTTCAGAGCAGGCAGGTGCTTCAGGAGCATCGGGGAGGTTGTTTTCCATCCCGGACCAGTTCAACCAGTACACACTGGCTTTCTGGGGCACATGGACTGGTGAGACACAGCATCTGCTCCTCTGCAGAACACCCAGCCAACAGTGCTGGGGGCTCATCCTGAGCCCTGGGGGTCCTGGGAGTCTGGAGACTCTCCCTGGAGAAGGATTTCCAGTCATCCCAGATGCCTTCAACTGCTGGGAATTAGCTTGGCAACAGGTTCGGTGGGGAGAGGGGTGCCCCTTCCCTTCCTTCCCATCTCTGGCAGCTCGTTTGGCTTCTCCAGGGCTGACCCAGCCCAAGGGAACGTGAGGAAGGGGGGAAGAATTGGGGATGTGTCCCTGGGCACTGGGGATGCCATCGGGGCACTGCCATGGCCACGAACTGAAGTTGCCCCCCTGCACTGGCAGCTGGGGAGGAGCAGGGCAGGGTTCTTGGGCACCTTTGCACCATCTGGAGATGTTGGTGCAGGAGTGGGACAAGTGTCTGGCCCAGCTGGAGGAGCAGCACTGCTCAGGGAAGGGACAGGAGGTGGCACAGGGGGGGTCTGTGCCCAGAGGGTGCCCAGGACTCAGCTCTGGGGGAAAACCCCCCCCAGGAGCGATGACCAGGACAATGGGACAGGTGGGACAGCTCTGACCCCGCTCTGGGGGAGCGGGGATGGAGATCCCAGCGCCCCCTCCTCCTCAGTGAGGATGCAGGAACACAGGGCAGCCCCCATGGAGCCCGTGGGGACCCACGGGAGGGGTCACTGCTGTGCTGAGCTGGCCGGACTCAGCCCTTCCTGTGCTCCCAGAGCGCCTGGAGCGGCAGGAAAACCCCAGAGCTCCCTGAAAACAACTGAAGGAAATAAACTCGGGGGGTAGAAAAACAACACAGAAATGGGTCCAAATGTAGAATTTAAGCCAAATACCTACTTTGGGAAAAAAAATTTAACTGAATTTCCCGTGGCAGTGAGGGAGGGAGATCTCAGAGCCTGGTGAGAGGTGAAGGTTGGTGCTGTCGGAGCAGGGGGTGGGGTTTGGGTGTCCCATCTCAAACCAGCTCTGGACCAGGGCACGGACACACGGTGGAGCTGCTACAGCAACATCTTGCTGTGATTCCCTGAGCACCTCGGAAAGAGAAAGGACAGTTATCCTGATGTTCAAAGACAGGGAAACCGAGACGCAGCAACAGCTCCCGCACCTCTCCCATTCATTCCAAAGGCAGACGATCTCCACCACCGTCTCTGCTCCAGCCCAGCCTCCTCCCACTCCCAAATTGCTTTTATGGAGCAAAATTGCATCAGCGACGCTGTGGATGGAGCCAGATTCTCCCCAGAGCCAGCCACGCTGCCGTGTTTTCCCTGCCGCGGCTCCAGCCGGAGCGCAGGACACAAGATGGCACTGTCAGACAGGGCACGGGGACCTCGCCGGGAATTTGGGAAGCTTTCCCTGCCTGGGAATCAGGGGATGAGCGAGCTCCCCTTCCAGGGAGAGGCCGCAGAGGGATGGGGCTACAAACTCTGTCTGTTCAACCTGCACAGCTAAAATGGGTAATTTTAGCTGAAAAATTCACCTGGCAGAGGTAGATGGTGAAGATGGACCTTACCCAGGGCACGTGACAGCTTTTTTGGGAAGACCCTCCTCCAAGAGAGTGCCCAGAGAGGCTTCCTGGGGCTCACACCCTGGGGAGAGGGTGCTGTGGGTGCCACCACCCAAAGATGCCACCACTGGAGATGGATCTATCCCACCAAAAACATGATGGGAAGAGGGCAGAGACCTTGTCTGGAGCACCCAGGGGTTCCTGAGGTCAACATATCTTTTAGTAACAGAAGCCTGGGCTGGAAGGACCTGGAGGGGTTGGTTTGGCTGTTTCTACACCAAAGCAGGATTGTCTCTCCCTAAACTGAGGCACCTGATCTACCTTCCTCCTCCATCCCTTCATGGATGGAGACATAGCAGGATCCCAGCGTGTCCCCAACCTCTCCAGGAGGCCACTCAGCTCTCTGGGCATCCCATGGCCCCTGGGGCTGGTCTCTCCCACCTTTGGGGACTTGCCCAGTGGACCACGGGCAAGTGTTGGGCTGGGTCAGGGGTGAGACCAGTGGGGTGGACCAGAGACCCCTCAGCATGTCCTCAGGACACACCCTAGACGTGTGGCTTTCCAGGTTGGAGCTGATCCTCCTTGAGGTCTTCCAGGTCCTGCTCTTCATTCCATCCTTCTCCTGGATGTTATCTGAGATGCCCTGAGCCTTGCAGGAGGTCCCTGCAGAAGTGACTCCCTCTTGCTCCAAAAAGGCCCTTATTCATCCAGCTCTTGCCATTTTCTCTCTTTCTCTCTCTCTCTTTTCTCTTTTTTTTTTTTTTTTCTTTTTTTTTTTTTTTTTTTTCCTCCCATGGACATTAAAAATCCAAAGGCATATTTGGAGAGCAGACAGCTTTGGGCGGGTGTTGCTGGGCTAAAAGATCTCTTCCTTCCCCAGATACAACCCATTTGTCTGCCTGGCCACCTCCTCCCACCCCGGGGACGGCCGCGCTTGGGTGCACGGAGCTCTCCCCGGCGGGATGAAAAGTCTCCGGATAAAAAATTAGCCGCAGGTCGCAGCATTCCTTCCTGCTGGCCAAACTCGCCTCGCCGCCACCGAGGAGCTGAGCTGCGATGCCTGGCCGGTGATGCAAGGCTCGATTTTTCCAGCACGGTTTTCCCTCGGGCTCCAGGCGCTCCCGCCGGTGCAGCTCCGGGTGCTTCGGGTGTGGAGCTCCGCCAGCCTCCACCCGCTCGGGATCCGGCCCTGGAAGCTCTGGAGTTGCAGGCACAGTTGGAGCAGGGCTTTCTTGGTGGTAAGATCTGAGCATGGCTCTCGTGCCCCGTGGGGTTTTTTTGGTTTTTTTTTTTTGGGGTGGAGCGTTTGCCCCAATCCACCCCCAACACCCCGTGGATACGGGGGGCACATGCGAGGGGACAAAACCGGGCAGGGGGTGACCAGGGGACCTGGGGGGACGCACCACACAGCGCTGGGAGGTGCAGAGAGAGGTGCTGGGGCAGCATCCCCCGCTCACCAAGCACAGCCCTCACCCCCACCCTGCACCAAGGACCCCCTTATCCAAGCGCTGATCCCTCTGGGTCAGCCCCCACCCCAATAACAGGCCTGTGCTGGGCTTGGATCCCCTCCATGACCCCCAAACCCCCACTTGCACACTCCCCCCCCCCAGCACCAGCAGTGCCAGTGCAGGAGTAAACAGCACTGGCAGGATGAGTCCCTCGGGTCTTCCCCAGGGTGACAGCCGTGGCCTCTGGGGCACCGCAGCTCCTCCCCAGCCTCAGGAGCCGGGAGTGAGCGCCACCAGCCCCCCGGGGGTGTAGGACCCCCCCAAGGAAGGGGGTTTAGGGGGGAGAGCCCCGGGGGTGGTCGTTACCCCGGGTCCCAGCCTCGGCGGCCGCGGAGGAAAAGGGACATCGCTCATTTCGCAGGAGCCGAAACAGGGCGGGGAGATGCTCGGGGAGGGCAGTGGGAGGGAAGGGGGGCCAGGTCTATCTGCGGCCCCCCAGCTCCCCACCGGCCCTGGGGTCGGTCTCTCCTGACCTCTCGCTGAGCGAGGGATTGCGAGCCAGGGAGGGATGGGATCTGCGGGAGCCTCTGCCAAGCGCTGGCTCCAGATCCGCAGGCAGCTCTGGGCTGCATTTCCCCTCCGGCGCGAAGCGGAGCTGGGGTGTCCGAGGTTCACTCCTC